TATAGGCACCAGGCACACATGTACATATGCATGTGCATAATATATACATACAAGCAAAACACTCAGACATATAAAATGGAATGCATAAATCTTAAAACTTTTTTCAGAAATTTCAACATGCCTCTTCACAGAAGTTTTTTTGAAATCTCATTCATATGGAAACACAGAAGATCAAGGATAGCCAGAATAACCCTGAGTAATAAACACACTGTTGGAGACATTACCCTTCCTAATTTCAAGTTATAGCATACAGTAATTTCAAGCTATAATAATCAAAACAGTATGTACTGGCATCAAAAAGACCACTGATCAGTGGAATAGAATTGAAGGCCCTGATATACGCCCACCTTCCTCCTGCCACTTGATTTTGTGAAAGAAGCAAGAAACAAATAAACATTGAAAAAAGATAACATCTTCAACAAATAGTGCTGGCTAACCCAGATAGCTACAGGTGGAAAGAATGAAACTTGACCCTCATCTGTCATCCTGCACAAAATTTAACTCCAAATAGATCAAGGACTTCAGCACAAGACCTGATACCCTGAATGTAATCATGGAGAAAATTGAGAATACGCTTCAACCTACAGCCACAAGAAAGGCATTTTCTCACAGGACATCAATAGCATGCACATTAAGAACAAAAATTGGTCAATGAGCCCTCATGAAACTAAAGTTTCCATAAGGTAAAGGACAATACCATTCAAGTGAGGAGACAGCCTATATCTAGCATCTTTTGAACATTCAGACAACTTTCATTGTGAATTCATTAATATATAATAACTATTATATTATTAATCATGATATAATAATTAATTATAATTAATAATATATAAGAAATTAATAATGTATATAATAATAATGTGTGGATGAGGGGCTTACCTTTGAATGGCATTTCTAGAAGGTAGCAGAGCTGACTAGATACCAGCTTTACTGACTCCACTGTAATTCAAACTGATAGTTTTAATAACTATCAATAATTATTCCAGTTTACTTTAAAACAGTTTTTTCATAAATATGCTAGCAGTGGTCACTCAAAACTTCAATAGATTGATAGGTCCGTGGCACAGTGAACTCTCAGTACGTGTCAGGCCATAGGCTCGATTTACAGCAGAGAAAAAGTTTCAAAGCCAGCAAGGTAATAGCAGAAACCGTTGCCTAGGGATGCAGAAAGCAGCGCGAGGCTCTGATAAATTATCCTGGTAAACTAGAGTTCAGAGTTGGGAGGGAAGGAGCTTATGAGAAAAAGTGGGATAATTCAGGGGCCTCTGAGGATCTCTCCAGGTTTCAACACTAAATTAACCAAAGAACTACAATCTAATGATTTTGTAAGTCTGCTGGACAGCAGCTGCATACAAAAAAGTATGTGTGCTACGTCTATGTCTGGCTGGTATCCTTGAAATTCAAAGGAAAGTGTGAGATCTCATGGAACTGGAGTTATGGACATTTGTGAGCAACCATGTGGGGCTGGGAATTGAACCCCAGTCCTCTACAAAAGTAGAAAGCATTCTTAACTGCTGAACCATCTCTCCAGCCCATCTTTTTTTAGTACTCTTCTATAACATAAAATTCAAGTAGTTTGTGCATTTGGGTTGTTTGTTGTATAAATCTTCATCCTAAAAGTCAAAATCAAATTAATTTTATTATTGAGCTGAGTTTGGTAGCACATGCTTGTAGACTCATAAAATTGGGAGTCTGAAGCAGACAGATCAGTACTGCACAGTTGCAGAGTAAAATCTGCATATTGAGAAATCTCATCAGATATAAATAAGCAAACACATGTGTGGAGCTTGGGGGTCCTCTTCTACGATCCTAGCTACTAAGGATCTTAAAGCCGGAAAATCACAAGTTCAAGGCCAGCCTCACTATCTTACCAGGACCTTATTTCAACATGTAAATAAGAGAACTTGGATATTAGATTATCAATGGACACTTATCTAATATGTGAGGAGCTGGCTTCAAACCCAAGTACTGCCAACAAGAGGAAAGAGAAATTTCACTTTAGTGGTTTAGGGAAGAAAAAATGACATGTGTAGCCCTTATTCCTACAAGCATTCCTGAAAATCATGACAAGAGGTATAGATTTTCCAACGTTCCCTACAAAAATCAGTTCAGATGCTCTCAACACGGCTGCTGCTGTCGCCCTGTGCTGTTTCTAGCCATTTGTCGCATTTGTCGCTAATGAGAACCTGTAATTTTCAGCAGAAACTCTCAAGTGACACGATGATTAAGCTCTAGTTTTGCAGTTTAAAGTTTCACACTACCTCCTCCATCGTCCTCAGTCTGCATTATTAAGTCTCAGGGAAAACGAAAGATGACCGGGGATTATTAAAAGGTAGAAATCAAAGCTGTACTGGTTGAGCTAAAAGAAGTGTTGCCGTGTGTAAAACTGACTATGTCCTTTTAGTCTTTAATGCCTCCCCAGGTGCTGGTCAATTACAGAAAGCTGTGGATAGAACGGCATAAAAGAGTCTTTAAGTTTTATACGGAATGCATTCCCTGTTCTAAGTTCCCATTAAAACACCAGGACAGAGCTGCCTTCTCCAGGGCAGCAGTCCTTGCCTTCGCCTAGAATGTTCTGTAATCGCGGTTACTGGTCAACCCTGACTAGTACTAACCTTCCACACTCCTTACAGTACTCCTGCCCGCTCGCACATAGACCCATACACTGCTGTTTCCTGGCTTCTCAGTTTAAGGGTAAACGCACAGCTGCTCACACGGCAGAACAAGCTACCGAAACCTTCACTGGCAACACAATAATTTGAAGGGATAGATTCTATGAGAATCAGTTAGCTGAGGGCACATGACGAAGCTACACTTTCCTCAAGACCTTCAGTGTAACCAAAGGGGATGTTTAGTTATTGAAAACCACGATCAAATGCCCTGAGAGAAAGCATTTTCCTAATGATTTATTTATTTTTTTAATTTATGTGCATTAGTGTTTTGCCTGCATGTATGTCTGTAAGAGAATGTCGGATCCCCTGGAACTGGAGTTACAGACAGCTGTGAGCTGCCATGTGGGTGCTGGGAATTGAACCCAGGTCCTCTGGAAGAGCAAGCAGCCAGTGCTCTTAACTTCTGAGCCATCTCTCTAGCCTGAGAAAGCATTTTCTAAATGAGAATAATTTGACAATATCTTTAATAATCTCAATGAGCCATACTTTATTTTTCTAGAAGTTGTTTTCAAAATAAGTCTCTTGGTAAATACAAATAGACATCACTACTGTAAGTTCATTTTTATTAAAGTTGTTAGAAAAAAAAGCCCAAAAAATTTATGAATCTAGATTTCTAGTTTCTAATAGAAAATTTTAATTTTAAATACCTGTTATTTGATACATTATACATAAATTAGATTAGAAATATAGCCCATAGCCAGGCTTGGTGGCACATGCCTTTAATCCCAACATTCAAGAGCAGAGGCAGGCATATCTCTGTGAGTTCAAGGCCAGTCTGTTCTACAGAGTGAGTTCCAGAACAGCCAGTGTTACACAGAGAAACTCTATCTCAAAAAAAAAAAAAAGAATTAGGATTGCATTTTACAAAGGTAGAGTGGTGTGACAACCAGGAAGTGGAGCTGTGAGTCCATGCTGGTGCTCTATTGGGGTGTCACAGCATTTACAAACTGTGTTCTCTTGATTTTTCTAAGTGTACTTGCAACCGAAAGAAATAAAGTTAACAGGATTCATTAATTCTAGAAATTCTTCTGAAATACTACCAAACTAAAGGTTATATACTTCTACATATTAACATAAAAGATTATAGTTTTAAAGTGAAAACACTAAACATTTACAAGAATACTAAAAACTGCTTCCTCAAGTTATTTCTATTTTTAAGTTAAATTAATATTTTACTTAACATTAAAGTCGAATTGTATAGTATAATGAGGTGACTGACTAACATAAAATAAAAATAGAGACCAAGGTTGGATAAAGCACAGGGACAAATAGCCAAACAAATGGAAACACATGAACTATGAACCAATGGCTGAGGGGTCCCCACTGGATCAGGCCCTCCGAATGGGTGAGACAGTTGATTGGCTTGATCTGTTTGGGAGGCATCCAGGCAGTGGGACCAGATCTTGTGCTCATTGCATGAGTTGGCTGTTTGAAACCTGGGGCCTATGCAGGATTGTTTGGCTCGGCCTGGGAGGAGGGGACTAGACCTACCTGGACTGAGTCTACCAGGTTGACCTCAGTCTGTGGGGAAGGCTTTGCCCTGGAGGAGATGGGAATGGGGGGGGGGGGGGGGGGGGGGGGGGGGGGTTGGGGGGAAGGTGAGGGGGACGGGAGGGGGGAGAACAAGGGAATCCGTGGCTGATATGTAGAACTGAATTGTATTGCAAAATAAATTAAAATAAATTAAAAAAAAATATAAAATAGAAAGACATCTTTCCATGATTTTGACTATCACCCAGAATTATTATCACTACATTTTCACTTACAAAGTTAGAAAGATATTTACATAGTAACTTTCTGAGCGATTTTAACTTTCTTTCAATTTAACTTTAAGACTTTTTCTCTCCTTAAAAGTTGCTAACTTCCATTATGAGATAATGAAAACCTCCTTCACTGTATATCACATGGATGGCCGCCATTTATGTCTGTGCTGACGGTCTTAGGTCATCAGCACACTTCCCACAGGGAACGCACTAAAGAACCAATGCTCTCAGCATTGCGTGTTAATAAAGAAGATGCTGCTATTTGTTTAGTTCTCAGTGAGCATTTTAACTTTACATTACAGTTTATTCGCCAGCACAGACTGCGAGACTGTACATACGAGAGCCTCCTGGGTACCATATGCAAGTCCTAATAGGAATGTCTCCAGTAGGATACAGACGTTGGTCCTCCAGCCCATACTTTCAAAAGCATATTACTCAGCACAATGCAGTAAATGTCCACCCAAAATACCGAGCTTGCTGCAACCACTTTACTCTGTAACAGCATATACTGAAACTGAAACTTTTACCAAGAAAACGGAAACAGCAAATCAGTACAATTACAACCTACAATATTAAAAGTATTTATTTAGGAATGAAAAACACTCACACACCAAATAGAATTCAAATTCTTAATAATATATTACAGTATATTAAAAGTGTACAAGGAATTCTTAAACATAGCATTATAAGTAGCAAAGTCCTAGAGATGCTCACGCAGAAAAACTGTACAGTTAGTGACTCGAGCATTTCAGTAGCTCTGCAGTCTCTTCAAACCTGAAACAGAACAAACCACATGTCAGCTAGTGCACGCTCACGGTGAAGCTCAGGACTGAAGCGTTGCACACATGCTTCTGGCCCAAGACAAAGCTGAGTGGTTTTCTTATTTAGGAGGAACTACTATTTATACATACAGAGAGAAGAGAGCAACGTAAGTAAGCCAATTCTTGTAGCATAAGTTATTTTAGAATTTTTCAAATGTCAAAGAGCTTTATACTTTCTTAAGGTAATAAGGTGTAGATTATTCTGATACCATTTCCTTTAAATACCACTCTTTGCTAAAATACCATCATATATTTCCTTTAAACCACTCTTTGCTAAAACTACATGTAACGTTCATAGTCTCCAGTAAGACCATCATCGTTGGTGGTACTGCATCAATCGCTCACTGGAAACACAAGCAAGCCTAACATAATACTGAAAACATCTCCCAACTATCCATCTACATGCACATAATGTTTTGGTAAATCAATTATCAGAAGTAGAGAAATCAGAATTAATTATCAACCAAAGCATCTCTGCCCTTTGTAACCCATCATTAATTCTGGTTTCACACCATTTGCTGGAAACCAGAACAGTGTCTCATCTCACACACACACACACACAACTGGAAGTAGAATTATTATCCACTGGAGTCTTGAAGGAAACTCCACACCTGATTGAGACTTTCAAGGTCTGAAACACATATGTCCATTCTATGTATACTACACTTCAGTACAATTCCCTACAGAGAAATGATTTCTGTTGCCCCTTTCTGTTACTTACATTTTTTTCATCCTTTCCATTTTCTGAAGTGTTGTTTCCTTTAATTTAAAAAGCAACAAATTTAGGCAATTTCTCAAAGTAAATAATCCGCAAAGATGGACCATGAATATATAAACCACACTCTGAAACACTGCATAAGGAGACTCTAGCCAACAAAAAGAACCCTGGACAGATTAAACTTATCATTTAACATTGTTCTTACCAATAGTATATATTACATGGCATATACTAAAAATGATACTTGTTTCTTCTCTACCTTAGAAATCATTAAGCAGCTGACAGTTTTTCTTACCTCTGAAAAATCTTTCAAACCACAATAATTAACAGTGGAGCCTCTGGGCGTCGACTCTGGTGACAGTGTACTACTGTAGCCAGATGACCGATATGTTCTGGCTGGTGCCCCCACACTGTATTTTTTATCTGTGAAGAAATCACATTTTAGGAGATCTTTCCATTACACAGTAGAGTGAAATATTTAAAATTTTATTTACAAATGAATTAATCTAAAATGGTTATTGGCATAGATAAAATGAGTTTTTAATACTTTTTATACATATGGAGACAAATGCTAAAAATTCTCTAATAAAAATTTCAAAATACATTTGGTATTTGTGGTATATGCTTGTAATCACATGTATATAATAGCGGAAAAGATCTAATGATGTTAAATATCTATATTACTGAAATTTAATCTAACAATAAATTGTCAATTGTAAAAAAGTCATCTTTTTTACAAACTTAATTTAATCATAATATGAGATAAGATGTAGGCCTTTGCTTTTTTCTAAATTATAAGACTCAAAAGAATAAAAGCTTTTGTTGAAACCAGAGATCTCGCATGCTCAGTAACATGGGAAATATCCCTAAGTGGCTGTGACATGGCAAAGGCCACTCCTGTTCTACAACATTCTCATTTTATTACTGTCAAAAAGCAGTTCAGATAAAGCACTTTATAGATTTCTGAGAAATGTACTTTTTCTGTCATGTATCTTATTTCTGCACAAGAATGTTACTTAGGCTTACAATTAGAAAGTTTAGAGCTCCACTTTTCTTCTTTAACTGTATTCTATTATTCTAGAATGATTAAAGAGTGAAAAATCCCATAAAGAATGTAAGCTGTGTCCTGAACAATATATACTCTGGTTTTATAAGCAATTCTTGGCAGTCTGTGGGTCACTATTTTCTTTGTCCTAAGAGTTCTGTAATTTTATTTTATTTTAAGAAAAATGTTTAATAGGAAACGGGGACATGGCTCCAGTCAAGTGCTCACTAAATTTCATTTCCAGAACCATGTTAAAAAAAAAAAAAATCAGATGTAGTGGTTTGTACCTACAATGCCACCAATACTGTGCTAGAGACAGGTAGATCCTGGGAGTTTGCTGGCTAGCAAGAATAGCCAAGTTGGTGAGCTCCAGGTTCAGTGAGAGACTTTATCTCAAAGAATAATGTGGACAGCGACTGAGAAAGAAGCCTAATATGGACCTTTGGCTTACACACACACACACACACACACACACACACACACACACACACACACACACATATGAATATATATATGGACCTTTGGCTTACACACACACACACACACACACACACACACACGCACACACGCACACACACACACACACACATGCGCACACACACACACACACACACACACACACACACACACACACACACACACACACACGAGAATGCTAAAGAGGTCAAATGCCCATAAAACCTACTGTTCTGAAAATGTACTAATACAACTGAAGAGCTTACCAACGGGCATGGCATCCACGACACTATCAGAGTCATTATCTTCACTTGCTGCATTAAGCTCTACGCATTCATTCTGGAATGTACAGGTAAATATTTAGAAGAAAACGATAGGTAATTCATTTTACGCTGCTTAACATAAAATATAAGCAAAGCACAGGGCATGTTTAGTTTTAATAAATTTATTTACTGATAATATATAATTACTCTTATGCATAAGAAACAACCATTAAGTGTGGAAGCAGAGAGTAAGCTTCTTGAATCTACAACCCCAGTCTCTAAAAATGAAAGACAGACTAGAAACTGAAACCCTAAGAAACAAAACAGATTTCTCAGACTACATAAGGCAGTGGTAAATGTGGTGGTCTGAAGAAGAACGGCCCCCATAAACTCATGTATTTAAATGCTTAGTCACCAAGAAGCAGCACTATTTAGGAGGTATGGTCCCGTTGAAGTAGGTGTGGCCATGCTGGAGGAAGCATGTCACTGGGGATGGCTCTGAGGTTTCCAAAGCCCATGTCAGGACTAGTCTCTCTCTCTTTCCCCCCTCTCTAGGCCTGTGGATCAGGATGTAGCTCTCAGCTACTGCTCCAAAGCCTGCCATGTTTCCTGCAGCAATGATAATGAACTTAAGCCTCTGAAACTGTAAGCAAATCCCCAATTAAATGCTTTCCTTTATAAGCAATGCCTTGGTCTTAGTGCCTCTTCACAGCAATAGAACAGTGACTAAGACAGAAAATTTAATAACTGTTTCTATGAAATTCACTTTATGATTGAAGTTAATGCATAAAAAAGAAAAAGTTTCAATTTTAACTCTTCTACAACTTTTCCAGTAAACCAAAGAAGCCTTTGTCCTACTAAAATACATAAAATAATTTAAGGTTTTTCAAAAAATTCTTACCTCATTCTAAGCATCTGAAGTACTATTAATCAGAAAAGCTCAACTTACGGGTTTTACAAATTATCTTATTTGATAGAAATAAACAGCCACAAGAAGTTTAAAGAACTTGTTAACTTAAGCAGACTTTATTCTAACCAAACATTTTCTAGTTTCTAAGGAGCCTCCTCACATGTAGTGTTTCCAAAAGAATAGACAACAGTCACTGTACTTGAGGCAAGCGGTGCTACATAGTAATTAATACCTTTTTAGACAAAAGCATCTCTGTTTCAAGAAGAGTGACTCGACTGAGGAGATTATTCCAGGCCTTCTCATCGACCATCACCTTCCCTTTTGTTGCAGCTTCCAAATACTGGAGCCTTTTCTCTACACAAGTCAGCCTCTTAAGCTTGTCCTGGCATTCAGCAAGAGCTATGTGAAGTGCAGTGAGCTCAGGGTTGTCACAAAGATCCTAAAATGATAACCAAGATCACAGGTGATAGGAGTGGCATTCCTCTGAAAAGGAATCAGGGGGCTCCCACTTCCTTGTGCTGTTTTGATAGCTAAGAAAGGGCACAGTGTGGAACCAGGGGCTCCCTGTAGACAGCAGCGGGCCTTACCACGAGGCTGTCATCTTCACAGCAGCTGCCTGTGGAGTAACCTGCATGATGCTTAGACTAGGCAGTACAACACAACTATCATTAGCTAGTTTCTTTAGACAGTGCCTAGTACAAATCCAAGAGAAATAAGCAAATGACAATGTGCTGACTATCTAGAGTGTCATATAGAAAAAAGCAGGCCCACAAATAAAACTTCAGAAATCCAACTATAATCCAAATGTATAAAAATCACAAGATAAGAGCGTGTTAGCAGACACAGTAGAGATTATATACAAAATGGTATTTGTGTCAACGAGGAGTAATAGAAACCACAGGACCGCAAGGAGTCAGGTGGGTAGCACACATCTATAATGCTACCACGCAAAAGGCTAGGCAGGTTTACTGCAAATTCAAAGCCACCTTGGACTACATAAAGTCAGCCGAGGCTACATAGTGAGACCATACCCCTTGGGGAAAACATAGCAAAGACTAACTAAAGAAAAAACAGGAATAAAATGCCAAGCTTTTCAATTTTCCAACAGAGGAAACAGTGGTAGAAAACCCCACTGTGTAAAGTTGCACATCTCTTTTGCTAGATTATAATTTCCCTGGGACATACCACCTCTTGTTTCTCTTTGCTTTACTTCTAACTCAGGGGGAAAACTCCAAACAAATCCGACAACTGGAATCCACTGAATTACATTTAGTAAGACTGATTGACTTTTAAGTAATAGTATAGATATCATAATTTAAGAGTTCAGAAATATTACAACTTTCAAACACTGAAATAATCACAGATACCAAAGAAATCTGTCCAAGAGGTCCTCAACCCTTACTTTCAGCTGAGCCTTGACTTCAGAGGCCTGCTCGTCATGAATCATGATTTGAGAAGTCATCTCTTCTGACTCATCACACCCTTCACTCACTTCTGTTGAACTCACTGTCCGTTCAGGAAGGTCAATGTTATCTTCTGTGTACAGATGACGGATCACCACAGCTTTCTTCTGCACGGAGACAAGCATGAAGAAATACTTCAAAGGTTTTCCTGCTAGTTACTTTACGTATGCTCACAGTAATTCTCTAGACAGACTGTATAAATATTTAAAAAACATTTAAATTACCACATACAATGTATCACAACATAACATGCTAATATTAATATATTTGATATGTGTTGGTGAAATTGTGATTCAGTTTTTTAAAAGCATTCTTATGTCTTAGGTTAAACACTGAAATGTATTTTAAAGGTATCTAGGTTTGTCTCGATATGCTGGAAAAAGTGGCCACAGTAGAGATAAAAGAGGATTAGCAGAGATTTGATTAATTGTTGAAACAGGATGACCTGTGCTTTGGTAAATGTTTGAAAAGTTACATGCTAGAAAGTTAAAAACAAGAAAGAGAGAGAGAGAGAGAGAGAGAGAGAGAGAGAGAGAGAGAGAGAGAGAGAGGAAGGGAGGGAGGGAGGGAGGGAAGAAGGGAGGGAGGAATTAATTAAATAAAAACATATTAGGTGTGGTAGCACACAACCATAATCCCAGCATTCAGGAAGCCCAGGCAGGATTATAAGGTCCAGACCAGCCTGAGCTATTTAGTGAGTCTGCCAATGAATAAACAAATAAACAAATGAAGGTTGTGATATAATCTACAAATTAAATAATCAACAACTAGCTATGTGAGGACACATTATAATTTTTTTTTACTGAACAAATCACAATATATATTTCATCTTCAGCTAAAAGTTCAAAATACCAAAAAGTGGGAATACTAACAAGGACCTCACAGTGAACCTGTATAAACACTGAAAAACCCTAAGATGTGATGAAGAAATCATAAATTACATCTATATGAGATGAGGCATCAGGAAGAAGACAATTTGCTTCAGCACTGACTCAACTTCTCTTTCAGCAAATAAATATATTTATAAATTCTATCAGCTTTGTAGCAGTTATTCAATTCTTGGTATTATAGCTCTTCTAGTCATGTATTTTGGATCAGATAATAAATAATTCTACATATTTTACTTTATCCAGAAAAAAATTTACATCTTATCTAATTACACATTGATTACTTGTCTGTATTCTGTCCTCTCACCCAGAAGGAAACAGCTGGAAGCACATTTATTATTAAAATGGCATTTTGGCTTAGAGCTCCCCTTGGATATGGAAAATGCTATCTCTACATGTACTGGATTCATTCGGCCACAGGTGCTCAAAGCAGACAAAGGCAGAGACAATCTATACCTAGTAATAAAGAATCCTCGAAACCAGATTATTAGATAATCTATATTCTTGGTTATTAATGCATATAAATGAATCATCATAACCACTCTTGTTGGATATAATAATAATGGATTATTATTATATACACACCACTCTTTAGGGATGATCAGGTGCATAATTAAAGGTATATGTTGAGGGGCTGGAAAGATGGCTCAGGTTAAGAACCCTTAAGATATCCCAGCATTTGGGAGGCAGGGGCAGGCAGATCTCTGTGAGTTCAAGGCTGGCCTGGTCTACAAAGCAAGTTCCAGGACAGGCTCCAAAGCTACACAGAGAAACCCTGTCTCAAAAACAAACAAACAAACAAACAAACAAAAAACCCTTAAGACACAGGTTTGATTTCCAGTACCCATATGGAGGCTCACAACCACCCATAACTCCAGTTCCAAGAGATATAACACTTTCTTCTGTTCCTTTCTGGTACACATACACACATAAGATTAAAACAAACAAACAAATACACACACACACACACACATTCACATATTTTAAAGAGTAGAGGTCAATGCCTTGCACTATAACCTTACTAAATTTTATCTGGGAATGAAAAAGAATTCAAAATTAGAAATATAGAGTCTGGGTGACTTTGCACTCTTCTGCTGAGACTATTTGAGGGTAGGGAAGGGAAGGAAGTGATAAGAGAGGGCAGTGGGGGGTGCATATGATCAAAGTACTTCTAGAAAGAAATGAAATAAACCAACACGTTCTAATAAAAATGCCTTGTACACTGTGGTATCTGACTACAACATTTCACCAAATGCCCGTCAGAGAAACAGTCTTTACTGCATTCAGATACGCTTCTGGTATCTTCTAGTCTCACACCTTTCCTGAAGTCATAAACCTGCCAGTGATGTCAATGCCCACAGCCTCTCCAGGGGTGGCGTTCTCACTACTCGAACAAGGTTCGGGCCTTTCCGGGATGCTTTTCTTTCTTGGGCATGACGAAGTCTAAGAAAGGAAAAGTATTAGACAAAACAATGCATTTTATAAAAAGTATGATATACACTTCAATTCCATTTATTTCAATACTTATTTTTGATGACAGCCAATAGTGAAAGTAATGAACCATGCATTTATTTGTTTACCGTAAATTTAAGTGAAACTGATATGGTGGTGCTAGAATCCCACACTTAAAGTATGAGGAAGGAGGACTGAGGCCAGCCTGGCCTGCATAGTTAAAAACAAACAAACAAATAAAAAAACAAAAACTTTAAAAAGTGACATAAATACACTATCTTTGAACTGCTAATTTAGTTCCAAGTCACAGATGCATAAGACATGTGACTCATATCAGAGAAATGATGATCCTTGAGAGGGTTATGCCCTGTATGTGGATAATGCAGCAACAATTGAATATGTGGGCTGTATGAACAGTGGGATTTAGAACTAACTAGGTGCTTATGGCCTTATCTAGGTACAGACGGTAAGACATCCTGGTATTGCAGCAACCTGCACTCTCCAGGAAGCTAACTGTGAAATATGTATGTCCTGTAGAGGAAATTCCGAGACCTAGAAGTTTGGTGGGCAGACTCCTCAGCATCTCTGTAATTTTACACATTCACATCCCTTCAAATTCCATTTCGGTTCTAAACAACACATGTTTGGTCCAAACTAACCCTAGTTCCCAGAAATGCCCTTGGAATTCCTAGAAAATTCCACAATTATGCAAATAGCATTAACACAAGAATTCCCTTCAGTTCCTAAAATGCTCTGATGCCTGAGTCTGGTGCATTCACCTACCACGCTCAGCTGCCCACTCCTTTCCCTGAAGACACTATTTATTGCTTTTGCTTGATCAATCTGTTACTCTGCTTAAGTCTTCTCTATGTCTGTCCTGGAATTCTTTCTCTAATCATCAGTCTAAGAATGAGACAAAGAACTTCTGGGTCCAGCAAGTCGGGTGACAACTTGATGTTTATTCAAATATTGGGGTAGTTAGCATAAGTTAGCACTGAAATTCATTCATAAATTCACCTTGTCAGAGCCAGTCAATTCCTTGTGCTTTTTCATTACACAATTCAATATATCACAGACAATTTGGATTTTCCATTCAGCAAATCCAGACTGTATAAATTGCTTTTTTGTCAAAATTGGTTTATAATCAAATTGATCACGAAGAAGCTGTGAAGAAACAAAGGTAATATTTGTTTAATTCAAAATTATATGACCAGCTGGTCAGAAGGTAATAATTACCTTTGAGAGGAAGATCAAGCCGTTAAGTAAAGGTGCTAAAATTACAGAGCTGGTGTTGAGTTATGCCCAGGTATGAGAAACAGGTTGCTAGGGATATGCCAGAGGCGGGGGCAGGAGGGAAGAGAGGGAGGGAGAAAAACGGAGAGAGGGGAGAGGGAGTGGGGAGGAGAGGAAGAGAGAGCACTTCAGGAAAGCCAGAGCTAATTAGTGAGACCCTGTCTCAAAAAAAGAAAACAAAACAAACACACACACACACAAACACACACACACACACACACACACACACACACACACACACACACACACACACACAAATTCACAGTACTTGACCAAAAATTAATGGTAAATGTTGTTACGGTTTAAAAATCAAAATCAACTGAGATCAAAGTCAGACTCCATCCAGGTGTCTAAATGCTACTGCAGAGATGAAACCTGGTATCAGACCTCAAGGAACAAACTATGGAAGTTTCAGTTTGTATCTCACAAGTCAAGTAACACAGAAGCCTGGGGATTCCGTTCTCTCTCTCTTGCTTCCTCCAGTACACAAACTTACTAAAATTTCATAGGAAGCCGGCAAATTAAAGCCAGTGACAAACGTTTACCAGTTGCCATAATTAATAGGAAACATTGATAAAGCAAACATGAATTACAACTTAATTTCAATAGAGACCCCATGTTTTTATTAATTAAATTTTTTCATTTACTTTACATGCCAACCACAGTTTTCCCTCCCTCTTCTTTTCCCATCCCCTCCCCCCAGCTTCCATCTATCCACCTCCCCATCCACTCCTCCTCTGTCTCCAGTTCAGGAAAGGGGCAGGCCTCTCATGGCCATCAACAAAGCATGGCACATCAAGGTGAGGCAGGACCAAGAAAACTGCCCCTCCCATACACACTCCCCAAATCAAGGTTGGACGAGGCAACCCAGCATGGGGAATAGGTTCCCAGAAGGCAGCTCAAGTGCCAGGGACAAGTCCTGATCCCACTGCTAGGAACCCTACTAACAGACCAAGCTGCACAACTGTCACACACATGCAGAGGCCTAGGTCGGTACTGTGCAGGCTCCCTAGCTGTTGGTCCAGAGTCCATGAGCTCCCACGAGCTCAGGTCAGCTGTAGAGACTCCATTTTAATGAGATAAACACCTATGAAAAATACTCTGTCAACTAAACATACATGTGACGTATGACAAGATATGACAGTGGCCCTAGATTATGATAAAGCTGACTTTTTTTCTTATTGACTAGTATTTTAACTATATTACCTGCATGTTTAGACACCCAAATGTTAAACATGCTACAAGTTTGTAGCCAGGAGCAATAGGCTATGCATATAGACATGTAGGTCTGTGCAAGCACACTCTGATGTTTGCCCAATGGCAAAAGTGCCTATCAATACATTTCTCAGGATGTATACCATTGTTAAGTGAACATGCAACTGTGTTTTGATAATTATTACTAAAGTATCAATTTTAAAAATCAATAGTTCCTCAAATAATTCTTGTTTCATAAACTCAAAATACCTTATAGACGGTATCTGTGAAGCGCACATCATTCTTTGATATGAGGTCTATATTGGACTCCATCAGAAGTTCTGATATATAAGGGGAGTATGAGGTAAGAGAATAGCTGATGATAGGCAAAGATGCTGCTGTGTCCCCCTTCATCAAACTGCCAGGAAAAAGGGAAAAGACTTTATTAGCACAATTCCAGAAGCTGGGTGATCAAGGGTAATTAGCAAAGTTGTCAATAGCTTAGTTATTATTACAGACACAATAATGGAGCAATTTATGACTCTTCAGATTCTATATCCCACTCTACAGCACCCTGATCCAACTATGAAACAGTACTGTTCATTTTCATGTGCTCAAAACCTCACTACAGCTGTACAGTCTATCTCCTACAGTTTTTGTTGGTTTTCTGAAGCTTATTCTTACTTAATCCATTTATTTCTCCTATTAATAAAAAGTACTGCCCTACAGTTCTCAAGAATATTTGATGTTTTGTAACATTTGGTACAACAGCTCATCTGTCCCTAGACGAGCCTGCAAAGATGAACTGTTTGAACTCTAGGCTACATATGAGGTACACACTGGAAGGAGCGTATGCTGTGACCCGACAGCCACCTTCTGCTTTCACGAGAACTGGACCTTCTTGGCTTGGGCTCATGTCTAGGCGGGCATCCTACACTTTGCCTGTCTTTATTCATTACAACTCAGTTAAATGCTGATTTCATGAAGCCATCCTGAAGATCCACACTGATCTTTCAGTATCTGCTGCCTCATGCTGTCTGTTTCTAATTGTCTACTTATTTACTGATGTAAAAATGCCTTAGTGATTCTTGCACAAAACAGCAAATGAATTATTTCTTCAGTTAGCTAGCACTATTGGTTAACTAAAATTATACTGTACTTACATATAAACAGAATGCTTTCCTACATAATTCAAAATATGTGTATAAACCTCCCCATCACCACCCCAAAGTTTTAAAAAAAATTTTTTATATTTGTGTATGTATGCCACATGCCCATAGCACAGACAGATGTTAAGGCACCTGATATGAGTGCTGAGAGTTAAACTGTATATACATCAGTCTAGATTCTGTCTCCATATAATTTTAAACTCACTGGAGTATAATGGATTTCATTAATTATATTATCTGCCATTCTCTCATTCCACAGAATAGTATTATGTTTAGTATAGCCAATCTGATCACAGATGTTACCATTTCTTGAAAATTTATTTGTGTATTCAATGTGTAGAAGATAAATTTTATACATTTACACCATGAGTTCTTTTAGTATGGAAGATTCCAATTAGTGAGATTTCTTATGGCAGCCCCCATGCTTTAAAATTTTTATTCAAATTTGACTGATGGCTCAGCAGTTAAGAGCACCTGCAGCTCCTCCAGAGGAACAGAGTTTAATTCTTAGCACATTGGCACCTACTCCTTGGTACACGTGGAGGACAAAGGACAATTTGAAGGAGCTGGATCTCTAGTTCCAACATGAGTCCTGGGAATTCAAGTCATGGTCATCAGGCTTGGCAGCCAGTAACAGGGTCCATACAAAATCTTTACTTTCATTCAGGACCCCCAGCATGTCATACATGTTAAACTTTTAGCAAAATAAAAAGCACACAAATAAGTTTCAAATATCAAATGTATTATAGCTTACCCGACATAATCCACCTCATTAGGGTAATTTAGCAAACGAAGCACTTGTTCTAGCTTCCGCAAGCTTCTTTTTAAGTCACCTGTTGCCATTATTGAATATTAGATTCAGCTCCAACTCTCAAATAATCTTACAACTTTTCATCTAAAAATAAAATTATAAAGTGCTGTTCAAATACATGCTGTAGGTTCCGCTCTACTCTGTTTGTACCTCCCCCAGCCCCAGCACATTGACATCACACAATCTCTACTTGCTGACTGCGCTGCACCGACTTTAACCCTAAGTGTAAACTTCTAATTTTCCCTCACAAAAAATAAGTTTGCCTTATATTTACATTCATTCAATAGTATTTCATCTAGCCCTCTCCCAAATATTTTACCTTGAATAAAAATGGACTATAATAGTTACTTTCATGCTGTGATCAAATACCTAACAAAGGACACTCAGTAGTAAAGTTGTCCCTTGGTTCAGTGCTCGAGGGGGTGTGGACCCTCATAGTATGGAAACCATGGTAACGGGCAGCTCCATGGTGTCAGGAGTGTGTGGTGGCTGTTGGCTGCCATTATACCAGACTAGAGGACAGCACAGCACAGAAGTGAGGTCAGGCTACCATCTCAAGGCATCTTCAGACCCCAGGCCACTCACTTCCTCTAGCTAGGTTCCACCTATCAAAGATTCTACAACCTGTCAAATTAGCACCCCAAGCTGAAGAGCAAGTGATTAATCACAGGAACCTATGGAGGCCACTTTACATGAAAGTCATAGCTGGTCCCACTTGGAAAAACATATGAAACAGTCTCCATCAGTGGTTATCCTGAATGTTTATGAAGGCTATGTAACCAATAAAAACTGGAGACAAACTTAGCACAGACTTGGTTATTATCACCAGGACTTGGATTTCATGTAGTTGCCAATCAGATGCTTAAAAACAAAGCAAACTCGCCGGGCGGTGGTGGCGCACGCCTTTAATCCCAGCACTTGGGAGGCAGAGGCAGGCGGATCTCTATGAGTTCGAGGCCAGCCTGGTCTCCAAAGCGAGTTCCAGGAAAGGCGCAAAGCTACACAGAGAAACCCTGTCTCAGAAAAACAGAAAAAAAACAAAAAAACAAAAAACAAAAAACAAAACAAAAAAAAAAACAAAGCAAACTCATAGTTTACCAACATCTTGCTCAAGAAAATTATAAAAGTACTTTGAGAAATAAATTCTCTGAGAATGAAGCACCTTTAAAATGAAATCTGGCAATAAAAATAAAAAAAGAATTCAAGTATTAGATGAAATATATTTGATGTGATTTTTCCCATAGTCTATATTTCAGCCACTATCCAACATATAAACGGCCCCTTCGATACCTCCTCTGTATGCACATATATAAACAGGGGTAAATAAACCTGGCAATTTGCCAAATTCTAAGTCTGGGCCACAACCCATTTCCATAGCCATTTCCCTCGAGTTGGGTCCCTGTTCTCTGTCTGTAGGAATGCTATTCCCATTCCAGTCTGCTCTGTATACATGTGAAGAGCAAACTACTGGAGAGACTCTTAAGTACTCTTGCATTGGCATTTTGCTCACCATTTTTGAAACATTAAATTACATTGATTTAAACATTAACATATTTAGGCAATGAGGATTTTAGGGAGAAAAAAAGGAATCGATCTTAAAATCAAATTATACAAAAAATTGGTCAAAACTGTAAGCCTTACTTCACATCTTTCCAGAGGCCAGGACTAGAAAGACATACGGAAATGGTAAGACAGACTTCCTGGACCAACCTTTATTGCCTAGAAAAGGTGAAGTGGGAACTACTCTCACTGTAACTAAAATCCTTGTTCCTGGGACTTAAGATTTCAAGTCTGAGCTTGTTTTAGGTTCCAGTCCCGTCTGACTTGACACAATTCTTTCCTTTCATTCATACCCCATCTTCCCAGGACATGTGATTTTACCTAATCCTCTGTGGTATCTTTTCTTTTTCTCATATCCTAGAACACATTTATCTTTGCATTATTTCTACCTCTGGTAATGAAATTTCTGACAATAAAGAATGCCCCAGGAACACATCCTCCCTCTTCATTAGCAGCAGAATAAATATTTTGAAGAAGAGTAAGATTCAAGAACAGCTCAGATCTGTAGGTGAAGGAAAAAAATGATATGACAGGAAAGAAAAACAAAGACATTTAAAAAAGATCATAGAAAAGTGTTTTCAAGAAAGGATCTCCTAGTTTTTTAATTGGTAGACACTAAAATTAAGATTATTAACTAATGCCAGTCAAGTACTGATACATACTTTACACTTGATCTTAGTCAAAAGGCCAAGAAGCAATCTTTCTTCTACATGTTTCTGAGATGAAAAAAACTTGTTACTTAAAAATAAAATTGATTTGCATTTTCACTTTATATTGTTTATCAAAGGACGTTAGATAAAGTATACAGATTCAATCATTAAGGTCTCAATACTCTACCTAGCTTTCTGAAGAGTTAGGAACAAATCAAATTTGCCAACTGAATTTCTGGAAAAGGTTGTAAGAATGGCACAATATGGGTTGGGGGGGGGGATGAGAATTGAACCCAGAGCCTTGGCATACCACCCAATGGCCCTACCACTGAGCTAGATCCCCAGCCTAGTAGTTTATAATTTTTTTGTTTTAAAAATTTTAGCTCAATCTCATGGTTGTTACAGGTCTTTAAAAACATAAGCTGTCACTAGACTCAAAAATCATTTTGTTCAGGATGACGTAACTAGACTTTAATAATCACGGTGGATAGCCAAGATTTTGAGATCCAAATCGATATACCTAAAAACCAAACTTTCAGATAGAGGAATACAGATCTGTAGAAATTAAATGTACAACATCTCTCCGTTAATGGATTCTAGGAAAATGCTGTTGTAGGAGAAAAGTTTTGATGAAGGATTTAAAAAAAAAAAAAGGGAGTTAGCTAGGGCGAATGGGAGCAACAGCTCAGTGGTACCGCTGCGTTTACATACAAAACTGTTTAAAAATGCTTGCAAGTAATTCTGTAAAATAGTCTGATGCAGCCGTACATCTAGAACAAATATGTTAAGATTAGTTTCCTTTATATAGAGAGAAAAATCTGTAGTCCTCAAAGTAGATGGAGTAGTTTTTTAAAAGCACCATGAAAATGTCAGCAAAGAGAACCCGAAGAAGTACTTTTACCCTTCTAGCCAGTCTAGCTGTATCATTCACTGAAAAGACCCAAGAAGACATCTACGTGTCTTTAACTTCGCAGGACTAAGTCACAAACCAATTCTAAGAGGCGGGCTACGATGCTTCCCACTTGGTTGCCTTCCAAAGCACATACCAGCTGGGTACATAAACAAGTCCCATCTAGGATTCCCCTCCTGGCCCAAGATTTAAAAGGATGAAACAGTAGACCTGATGAGCACTCGCCTACAACTCGGGGACCTCGGTGAGTACCGCATTCAGGCGACCTCTGCCCGAGCCAGAGCACAGCCTGTCCGCAGGCTCCGGCTCAGCCAGCCGCCGCCAAGCAAAGTGAAGGGTTCCCGAGGCGACCGGGCCAACACAGAAAGGAGACGGGAGCATATGTAACCCGAGAAAGTGGCGGGAACCAGGTGTTCAGCCCCAGCGCCCGCGCCCCGGGGCGCCTCTCGCGCCGACCGTTTGTATTCGGAACCGTGGGTTCCAGCGCGCCGCCAACAGTGGCCAAACGTTCCGAGCCAGGGGCTGCCCCACACTCTGGGGTTCCCAGGTGCAGATTCCATACTCCGTTCGCGCGGCCTCCTCGGAAGACTTAATTCTCCCAAAAACCTTATCAACGATACGCCTTACAGCAGATGTCATATTTCCAATGAGCATAATTTTGACGACCAGCATGGTTCAGAACGAGAAGCGAGACATAAAGACGTCCTGGCGAATCTGCAACCGCGAGAGTAATAATCCTTATTCTTCAAGGGCCCGCTCCCCGACGTCACTTCCGGCAACAATAGGAAACGTCAAAAAACTTGCCCGGTCTGCCCCTCGGGCTCCTGCAGGCTGAGGTGCTGTGAGAGTTCCCAGGAGTGTGGGGCGGTCTCTGGTCCTCTCGGAGCCATCGTGTTCTCCAGCGTGAACACGTGCGGTCTGGAAAGGCCTCTCCATGGCTTGGGCATCAGTGCCCGGCTGAGCCAGTTTCTTTTCGGCTGACAGCCCCCGCCCAGAGGCTGAGTCGTCGCGGCGGCGGTGGAGATCGCAGGTCGCTCAGGTACTAGCGTCGGCCCCGATACTTCCAGTGCCTTGCCTCTTCCGCCTGTACACTTTCACGTTTCGGCTCGGAAATAAAGACTGCGGGGGCGGGCGGGGGGGGGGGGGCTTGCCACTTGGCAGCACCGGCCCAGTAAGCAATAGTTTAGGACCAATGGCACGGTAAGACATTTTGAGTGACAGCGGCGGTGGCTTATTAAAACGCTGTATCGGTGTCAAGAGGCGGGCATAGAGCTCTTCCTTCTGTTTCTAGGCCATTGGTGGAAAGGTCGACTTGGGACTTGCCTAGCGCCTCGGTGTCGTCCTCAAGGAAAGATGACAAACGGTGAAGGTTACTTTCTTCAGGTTTATGTGTTGCTTTTATGGTGGTTATTGTGTTATCAGGTGCCCAGGCACGCTTTGATTTTTTTTTTTTTTTTACGACATCCCATTAATACGAATCCAAATATATAGTTTAGGGTCGCTGCTAATTGCTAGTTACTACAGCCGCCAGTGTGACTATAAAATTGGTTAAATTCTTGTTTTTCTGTGACTAGTCTACACTCCCCACATGGTATATACTTAATACATATTGCTTACCAGACAAAAACCGAATCAATTTGCAATTCCTGTTCGATATATTTTAAGTTTGCATTCTATATTAACTAATTAATAATTGTGGCTACTTGGTTTTGTACAGATCAGACATTTGTTTTTTTTAAGGACCCCCTGTGTTCTCTTCAAAGCATTGTCTTTATTACTGCAATTGAATACAGTTTGTTTTTCATATCAGCGTTTCCTCACCCTTTTTCCTTTTATTTTGAGACAGGGTCTCCGGTATACTCCAGGTTGGCCTAGAATTCACTGTGTAGCCCTGACCGTCCCTAGCTAGCAATCCTTTGGACGTGACCTCCCGCGGTTGAGAATATGGATTTTCAAAGCCCACTAAGCCCTCTTCCCTTTCGTTGAATGTCTGGAGTTTGGTACTCACACTCCTGAAAGAGAAACTTCACATTACCTTTGTGAAAGTGGCCTACAAAATAGTCTCAGAATGAAGAATAAATAAATTTGTTGTTTTCAGGTTCATTCAGAAACGTCCATGTTTGTAAAATTTGTCTAAATGGACAGTTACCTGAGTTACTTCATTAGTTATGTTCTGTTGGTTAACAGGTATCACCACATTTAATACAGTTTAAAACAACAAACATATATTATCTTGGTTTCTTTGAGTCAAGAATTAGGGCAACATTCAACAGAGTAAGTAGTCGGGTTGTTTCTTTTGTTTTGTTGTTGTTGTTTGGTTGGTTTTTTGAGACAGGGTTTCTCTGTGTAGTTTGGGTGCCTGTCCTGAATCTCACTGTGTAGACCAGGCTGGCCTCGAACTCACAGAGATCCGCCTGGCTCTGCCTCCCGAGTGTTGGGATTAAAGGCATGCGCCACCACTGCCCAGCTCAGATTGTTTCTTGAGGTATCAGTTAAGCTGTAGTTGGGAATTGTGGTATTATTGAAAGGCTCCACTGAGATGGAGTAAGGATCTACTTCTAAGTGCATGCACCTGGTTGCTGGTTGACCTAGATTCTCTGCCAATTGGGTTTCTTCATAAAACTACCATACAGAATGGCAGTTGATTTCCCCTACCACAGGCAATCCAGGAAAGAGCATCCAAACTGAAGGAAGGTACTTGTATTTTATAGCCTAACATTAGAAGTGATACCCCATCAACCACTGCCATATTGTATTTGTTAGGAGGCTTAAATCCAACCCACATTAGAGAGGCAGAGTATAACACAGTCCTCCAAGTGTGGAAGGCAAGGCCTCTGGAAGCCATTTTAGAGGCACCTGATACAGATACTGTTTGTGGCTGATAACTTTTAGCAGTTAAAGTAATTAATAAATAAGAATAATTGAGTAAAAATATGTCCAAAAGGAACTAAGTCCAACAAGGGGGGAAAGCCTGATTTTTGAAGTAATATGTAAACCTGTACTAGAATCAGCCCTTCCTGAAAACTAGTTTTTAAATCTATTTTACATTAATTATATTAAATAATATTATTTAATATTGCCTGAAGAATAGAGTGTCTGAAAGGAATGTTTGTGTATCACAACTGGAGATTGTGTATTTCTTACCTGTTGCTGTTTTATATAGTTGAAATTGGGTCAAAATAAATGTGAAAGATAGCTTTTTGAAAAGGCAAGCAGGTAGGAAAAGGCTAGGGGTGGGAGAGAGAAAATACAGGTCAGTGGCAAATTTGTGTTAGCCCTATGTGATCAAATAGGGATGGGAGAAGATTGTTTTGGAAATGTACGTTGACTTTTTTAAAAAGCATTAAATATAATTTGTGAGTGGCAGTGGGTAGCAGAATAAGCTATACCCCATGTTGCTACTTCTATCAGCCCAAGGAGTGCTTTTTAGAGAACTCTACTCAAGTGACGCCAAAATATTTTTAACTATACTGAAAAAAAAAAAAAAGCCCAAAACAACAACAAAAACAACCTCAGGATGAGACCGTATGAAGCAAGGTTTATTAAGAAAAAAATTAATATAGATTTAGTAGCAGCATTGAAAGAGGGAGAGGGACTTAAGAAAAAGAGGGTACACAGCCAAGTATGGCCTTGGGCTTTTGAAGATAGAATTGTATTCAAGTGTCTTAACAATAGCAATACATAAAATTTTGATGGCCTTTAAAGTGATATTATATGAGGGTTTTACAAAAGTAAATAAAACTGTTTTGGGTATACTTATTTTTATCTAGGTAACATTCCTTTAATACATAAGATTTGTTGGTTTATGGTGTTCTTGTATAGCTTTGAATGTGACCAGATAAAAACATAGCTTAAAAAAAAGTCAAAGTAACTCCACTAATCCATGGGTCACAAGAAAGTCAAAACACGGTTTGATTGTAAACATAATTCCTAATCATGTCAGGTTCTCAGCAAGTACAATTTGGCGGCTCTCTTCCCTTCCCATGCTCACTTAATTGTCCTGCATAGCAGGCCCTACCTTCTATCTACACACTTCTCTGCACTTCACCACTACAGCTTTTACTGATAAACCATAAAAGCTTATGGGGAGCAAAAGGTTCTGGCTTCAGGGTTTATGGCACTGTTTGGGCTATGACCCAATATAAAATCGCCTATGCTTCTTCCCAAGTTTGAAAGATACTATAAATCCTTTAATTTATGTGTAAACTATTATCCAAATTCATAGACATAAAACAAATATATGCAGTTCAAGTTTGGGCAACAAATTTAAGAAGCTTAATTCTAGAATTAGCCATTTACATATTCTTCAAGAATAAAGTGCATAGGATTGTTTAAACATTTGAATGAAGGAACCAGATTTAACAAGTAAACCAAACTTAGCCTTTATCTGCCTCTACTACTTGCTCTTTATAGATGTGATGGGGGTGGAGAAACAAGAGGTGGGAAGCATGGATGATAAATATGCACCACCAACTCCATCTTGTCATGTTACTCAGTTTTAGGTATTTTTCCTCTTTCCTTTGTTTTTATGCAATCGTAGAATTGTTTTTCTAGTTTTCAGTTGCAGTAAAACAATGTACACAAAGTAAAATTCATCATCTCATCCAGTTTAAAATATACAGACCAGTGGTATTAAAGATATTCATAGTGGCATGTGACCACTTCCACTAGCTCCATAATTCTTTATGTTTTATAAAGCTAAAAGTCTATGCCACCAACGACATTATCTCTTTGCCTTTCACTAGTTCCTGGTAATCCTGTTCTACATTCTATGATTTTGGCTACTCTGAGTACTTCATGTAAGCAGAACCATGTAAATTGTTTTTTTGTAATATTGAAATCTTAACAGCATTATGTTTTCAAATTCATGAGTATGAGTGTATTTCTATTTATTTGCCTTTAACTTCTGTCAGCAATGTTTGTACCTTTCATTGTAGATGTCAGGTTAAATTAATTCCTAAATATCGTATTCTTGTAAATGAAATTGTTTTCTTAATTTTTTCCAGATTGTTCATTAGTATATAGAAATACAATTAATTTTTTTTCTGTTGACCTAGCATCTTGCCTCTTTGCTGAATTCATTTGTCAATTCTAAGGGTTTTGTTTTGTTTTGTTTTTGACACAAAAACACAGCTCTCACTTCAAGGAGAATAAAAGATAGTTTATTTTGGAGACAAACATGGCTTCATAGTCTGAGAACATGGATTCAGGTTATCCCAAATACCATGTTTCAGCATGTATCGGTTCTGTGACATTTTTATAGCTACAGAACAAGAGAAAGTCTAGATTAGGGCACTTTCAAATACAGGGTAAAATGTGAGGAAGATGGGTTATAATTAATCAAGGAAATCTCTGCCACAGGTTTCAGATGTTGTCTAATACATGCTTAGTTTTTTGGTTGGTGAAGCTGTTGCTTTGTTAAGTTAATCCGTATCAAAAGGTTTCATGTGACTGCCCAAGGATGTTAGGTCGGACACAAGTGGGCAATGGATGGCCATTGTGGGTTAAAAGTAGTCCACGATAATTTGATTCTGGATATGCTACGTTCCAGCTCTCCATAATCACAAAATTCCAGTCAATCAGTATTGTAAAAGAATCCTTAACATGGGTGTGACTCTTTTGTGAATTTCAGTTCATAGTTTTACTATTGGTTTTGCAGAATCTTTAGTGTTTTCTGCTGTAAGGTCATATCTGCAAACATAATTTTACTTCTGGTTTCCTACTTGGATGTCATATATTTCTTTACTAATTGCAGGAATCCCTGGAAGCAAAGAAATATATAGCTTAAAGAGATTTGGGGTATCAAGCCCAGAACTCTTCTTTTCCACATGAGGAAACTGAGGCTTTAAAAGTTAAGAGACTTGCCCAGTTCTCACAACTTGCTAAGGAAGGAGCCTAGCGCAAATCAACTTATTTCGGACTCTCCTCCCTCGTTCAGGCTACTCTCAGTATTTTGCTTTAATACTTACGATGATGTGCATTGAGGAGTTAGGCTGGAATGTGCCATTGTGGGTTCTGATGCAGTCATGCTGACTAAATAGTAATTCTGTAATTGGAGAACTAATGTAATCAAAATTGGTATATGTGAGCAATATGATATATTAATTGTATTTACAAGTTAAAACGTAACAGCATGTTTAGGTCAAAGCAAACTGAAGAAATTAAATAAGTCTAAACTACTCAGATTTGTGGTTATGTTTGCATTGCGTGTCTTCATTTTCTTACATTTGGTTAAATGTTATTTTGCTAGCACTTAGAGGAAGGAATTAAGGAGGTGGGGGTGGGGCGAACCTTAGAAAACAGGACAATATTGTAAATCTTTTTGAATTAAAACAACCCACAAATGGTATGCCTTTTAGTAAG